GCCAAATTTTATCAATAAAACGGAACTATAAACAACTGTCATACAAGTGGAAAGTTTAACTAGCTACAAAACATGGTCTTACCAACCACTTACAGCGGAAAATACTTGTTCCAAGTCAGGAATACAGCAGTTGTTTTTCACTTATTCCGTTAATTGATAGAGTTTTTTTTTGTCCGTTTTTATGGACTTCTCCTTCTTGAATTTGCATTGGAGTTCGGTATTTTTGTTTTACTTTTTTACTAGTTAAAACAACAACGCTTATCTTAAGCTTTTAAAGGCTTAAGTTAAATAAATTGTAAGAAAAACATGTCGAATTTTGTATTGTATTCGACGTATTTTGAATTTCATTGTTTGCTAATCGTGCATATTTGATATTAATATTGCAGAATTAAAGGCAAAGTAAAAAGAACGTTAGTGTAATCAAAGTGAACATCGTTCAAATGGAACTTATCAAAAACCTTCCATTTATTTTGTACGGGAACGGAAGGTAGTTTTGGATGATACAAAAACACAAAGATTGCAAACATCATGAACATGTGCAATCTTGAAGTAAATATTGAAAGGTCTTCAACGATTGTATTTAAATGCTTTGGTCTCAAAAAGAGAAATTGTCCTTCAAAATACGAATCTTGTGTAGATAATTTGAATTCGTTAATGTTATATCCTAAATCGTTGTGAATTTTACGACATAGATATTAAAAACAAAACGGCACCTGAAAAGTCTGATTTACTGAATTCCAGGACGTGGCATTGTCAATTTATTTTCGGTTTATTAGTTTGAATGTCCCTTTGTTAAATTTCGACTTTCTTTTTCATTAGAAATCAAATTTATAAGCATCAAAAGAAGTATTTTTTATATAATGTCAATATTAGCCACTTTTTTTTTTATCAAAAATCGCTAAATCAAAAAAGAATACACTTGTCGATCAGATATCATTTTAAAAGCGAATAAAAGAACACACTCATTATTTAAACATATTTTACTTATCTTTCGGCAACGGTCGTGTTGTCTTTTTTAAAAGTATACACAAGTCAACATGTCAAGCTGCGGAGTTATATTACTGAACTCACTCTCGTTTATTAAACTTAATCACAAATGACAAGAATCAAAAGAACAACGTTTTATCAAAGAACATTCATTCAGCATATTATTCTGATTATCCGAGATAGCTGGGTACATATCTTATCATAGTTCCAATAATGCAACAATCGTAGTTTTACCTCAATATTGAATATTTATTTTCAAATTGATAATCAGCAGGAAGCAATTGTCAAATAAGAATTGTTCACATGTCACTGGCACAAAAGATTATCTCATGTTGTAGCTTCCTATATAAAACATGCATTGTTATTTCACAACAATAGTATATATTTTTGGTGACAAATTGTCTACACTGAACAATGCTGTCCAAAACGAAAGCCGAATATGAAAAGTATGAGTGGGTGGCAGAATGTCCTCTGCTTCATACATGTATATGTAGGAAGCTTAAAATGTTTGGTAGTTAAAGCAAAGTACAACTGATTATCAATTATAAATTTCAACTTTAACTACGCGACAATCTTTGTTTTCTCTGTTGAAAGGCATCTGTAAATCATACGGCTTTATAAACAATAGCAGATAAAATTTTGAATTTGTTTTCATCAAAAACATTCTATTTCATTGACATAACACAAAATAGCAGAATGCAGGGTTGTCTATGATGTAAAATCAAAAGTTGATTGCGAATTAGCATTCAATATAATTTTTCACATAAATCATAATTTTATTCTCGAAGCATGTAAAATGAATATTAATATATATTTCTGTATACAAGGACATTTATTGCAACAATGGTGCCAATACTTAATAGACGCAAATCTGTGGTAGGAGACATAACAGCAACAAATAAAAAGCTGCGTCGTGAGGACATGATAAGCCTGTAGCCTTTTTAGCTAATATGTATGTGTTAAAAAAAAATATATATGTTTGATCAATTACAAATTATGTGCGCATACCTCAAATAGACCCCCCCCCCCCCCCCCCAAAAAAAAAAAAAAAAAAAGACATGCACACACAGTGGAGGTGGTTCCCATAAACACACACCAAGAATGCTTTGCCATAGTTTTGAACGAATAAAATTAGGTAATCGTCCAAAGTGTGAAAAATGTACAGTTTTTGACAATTTTTCAACGAGTGACCTTTTATCTCCGCTAAGTCATATCAGAAAATTATAATAAAAAAATAAAAGAAGCTAATCATTTCAATAGATATAAACAAGTCAACAAGGTTTCATGAGAACTTCTCAAATCGTTTTTGAGCTATTATCAGAAAACTGGAAAGTCCGAATACTCCAAGACATATAAATTAGAAATTTTAAAAAAGAATTGAAAGGAACTTATGCCAAACTATAAAAACAATTCACCACAAAGTTTCATGAAAATTTGTGAAATCTTTTTTAAGTTAGAGTCAGAAAACTGTTTTTCTTTACAAAACCCTATAACTCGGAAATGTAAAATCTAAAATGTATAAATATCGAAAGGGTGCTTACGTCAAAAGATATAAACAATTCACCAAAGTTTCATGATCATTGGTTAACGCGTTTTTTAGTGATTGTCCTAAGAGTTAACTAAGGATGAACGGACGGTATACCATGATACATCCTGTCCTAAGACGTGCGTATAAAAACCAACAAAAACAGTATTATTTGTTCATGCGATACATTGTTTCCCCAAAAATATACTTTCTTGTTCCCTCGATATATATTCTTTTTCTTAAACATATCTTTGCCTTTGCCAAAACTATATTCCATATACAATATACAATTTCATTACAATGTTTTGAGACGGTTCCTTGCATCGTCGATCATTTTACTTCTATGCATAAAAACACTGTAAAAGGAACATCATTAACTTTTAAACACAGAAATAAACAAATAATCCCATAAATTGACAGAAAATACGATTGATTGATGTTCCGTGTTAAACATACAGTTGAAATATCTCATGTAGACGAAAACAATATTATGTCGATTCTGAAAGGTAGGTCGACAACTGCAAATGCATCTTTTAAAAGATAGCGTGTTGGATAGGACAGACATTTTGCTTTGCAACACATTACCAACAGACCCATAATGACGATATTACAAGGAGTATTTAGCGTGCAGAGAGTATGGCATTGGCATCCACGAGGCATCTGATTTACATTTCCAGTCGGAGCGGACGTGGCTGCCTATTAATACATCCAGCACATCCGATGCAACTTCAGTAAGTGTTTTACTTCGTGATGTGGGAAGAATAGGTAGTACAATTTTCGTCTATACCGGTCAATTCAATGGGATCAAAAGAGAGAACGTATAGTTATTTACATACAGCAATTGTTATGACATACATGTAAAAGTACAACAGTATACACCTCATGTTGAAAAACCATTTTACGGACTCAACATATAGCACGAGACAAAAAGTGTAAATATTACCTAAAAGATATTAATAGTGTACATATATAACCTTATAAAACACTTATTCGACGATGAGCTATTTCGCCATAAGGCAAAGGATACACTGTATTCCACAAAAGACTCTTAACTGATTGATTGCTGATGTTGAAATCAACTTTTATTACTCTGTATTATGTCGTGGTATATACAAGCCAATCAAGGTCAGAGTACGATGAATGCACCTGCCACGAGCGGGTTCTAACTGAACCTCAGCGTTAACAGGCTAGTGATCGCTGTAGTTGAACTACTTCAGTACTAACAGAGCTTTGGTCAGAGTACGATGAATGAACCTGCCACGAGCGGGTTCTAACTGAACCTCAGCGTTAACAGGCTAGTGATCGCTGTAGTTGAACTACTTAGACAACCCGTCCACTGAGGCCCTATAACGTTACAAAATCTCTTGAATATTAGTTATGTGTCTGTAGTTTTGTTTGTTGATAGTAATGAATTTTTTTCCATCTTTGACATTTTCCTTCGAGTTTTGTATATTTACAGCATCAATCTACTAGTGTCTTTTATGATTCCAAAGATCTCAAAATTAGAATATAAAAACATTTGCCAAAAAGTATACCCTTAATTTTGTGTAACACTTAAAGAGCATTTCGATTTATAAATGTCCTGTCTGTCATAGAAATGAATTAAGGCTGTCTGTTAAGCATATTTTATACATGTTGCTACGTACATAATAGTGGTTTTTAAAATAAATACAAAGATGTTAAGATATTCCGAAGGTAACAACATGACAAATTAAATGAAAGTGGCGACGGGCAAAAACCCTTGTCCTTATGGTTTCACCCAGATTTCAAGGTCAGTTTTCAAAGAAATGTCAGATATAGCGTGTATGAGATTAAATGTTTGGTATTAAGTAACTTTAAGATGATCTCATTAGTACGCATGTTCATTGTGCAGATAACTGTTTAACAAATATGCAAAATTAACAAAGACATGTAATAGTGTAGGCAGGGATTAGTTTTCCTATGGCCAAAAATTCTTGCACCGATTCTTGTTAATGCATCGATTTATTTATTTAACATTAATGTTTTGGCTACAAATTGCAGGCTTGTCCTGTAATGGAAAAAAATAGTTATATCAGGGTCTACATTAAGTTTACAGAATAGAAAACAAAGGGCTAATATTACAGAAAATGGGTAAACAAATAAAGGAAAGAAAAAAATAGACAAAGTAATGAAGAACAGAAAATAATGTGCAGATTAGAGAATAAATTGCAAAATTTATAAAGAATCGAGAAAAACGGTTGAAAAAAAATTAAAAAAAAAAGATTTGAAGGAAACCCCGCCCAGACCCTTTTATGTTCTTGATATCTCAATCTATTGTTTTAAAGAAATCGAGACAAAGGGGGTCTGAGGATGTACACCAGTGGGATTTTAGATACGCCCTATATAGATACACAAACCAATAATTTCAAATTGATGTTCGTCATTTATATGAATTAGACATTTTAGTAATACTGCCATGCTAACTTTCACTTTCTAACACTAAACATGTATGTTCATAATTATTTACCTGGTTTATGCCTATTTTTCGGGGTATGAACGTGTAAAGACGGATTCTGTCTGATTTTTGGTGCTGCAAAGATAAAATATCATTATGAAATTTATTAAAAAATTCAAAATAAAAGTTACGTAATTTTCTTATAGTCGTTTAAGAAAGTAACATGTGATAATATGAAGAAATGTTTATTGTGTAAGACTTCATTTATATATTGGTATCTTTGTTTGGTTTTGTATGTACTGTATCATGGGCTTTGTGTTAGGTTTATGGTGGGTACTTGTATGACTATGAACAATACTCAAAGTAATCAGATATTTCGAAAGAAGCATATTAAATTATCTCTTCTGTACATTTACCCGTTTACAAGTAAAAGACATATCCTTCCTTGATATAAACGAGTTGGTGTTTTTACAAATCAGGTTTTATAGTACATGTGTTTTTATCTGCATTACGGTTGTTCTTTTTTTTATTATTAATCCTGACATCCCTCGTTGGGTTATACGACAAGACATACTTTGAAATATGGATTATCTATAACATATTTATGTATACATGCTTTTATTGTTTTATACAATCATAGATAAACTTTTATTTTTTCAGGACTCAGGACAATATGGAGCTTGACATAATTGACTGACACTAGCATATAGTTACAACCGGGTGCTGACCTCTAAATTTGGTTATGTTATTCTTCATTATTATCTTACTCGTCAGATAAGGTTACAAAAAAAATTGAATTATAAAGTTCAAATTACAAGAAAAAGAGGGAGATAAATCCCATCAAAACTTTTCATATTTCTTAATGAATATGCACAATTCTGAAAGCAATTTCTAATCTTCATTATTCATAATCAATATCAGTTTTTTAGTAGGGTCACGGTTTAATATCAAGATATTGAAAGCTTCATATATTTGACGAGTTCTACTATTAAATAGAGATAGAACAAAACTAGGCTATTTTAATAACTCTTAAGCTTATACGGGTAGCTCATTACGGAAGGCACGTTTAACACTTCTTTTTCAAATATCTTTTAGGCTAAGTAGAAATGGATCTTATTTCTCAAGCAACAAGTAATAAAACGTACAAAATACGCTAAAATTGCGCATACGGAACATTAGCCAGTGCGCACATAAAACCTAATTAAATATACTATGTTATAATTTGATACACCAGACACCAGTTTCGTCTACAGAAGACTTGTCAGCTGGTCATTATTACAGGTCTAATACAGAAAAGCCGGTTAATACAGAATTTCAACTGTCCTTAATAAAAAAAATTTAACTTTCGCTTTTTTGGTACAAAAAGATGTCAGAAAATAGATGTATTTTTCATATGCTATACTATGTTTTATTTAAGTATATACAATTATGGACGGTAGAAAGTGGGAATATCCAGAAATGTCAACAATGAAATATTATTTCTCTGAGGGCACAGTTCAAAGCGAGAGAAATGTGTAAGGTTGACAATCTAGAATATGCACCACTTTGAATGGGCCACATTTGTTTAATTATACCATAGGACCCTTCGAATCAGTGAAAATACATGTTAAGAAAGCTCTGGTACATGTCTTACTGTAGCAACACATAGTCAACACAATAAGCCTACGTCAAAAAACACTACCTGTGTGACGTCAAACGCGCGATTCTAAGCCAGTACTTAAAACCTTCCATCCTTTATGGGTGGATTTTACATAGAGAAATGGCCCGAGAACACAGTTATTCCGTAGTGCATTTCTTTTAGACAATAAATTAAAATCAAAAACATCGCACCTGCTCAATCTCAAATTTTTTTTTACAGTGTAGTATACTACTTTTGGGACTAATAATATCAAAATTATAGAAAAGTCTACCAGCTTTAACTCAAAATATGGACAATTCTATGTTAAGGGGGTCTATAATTCAAGTTGACAGCTTCAGACATACTAATTTTAGACCTTTTTTAACTGGACCAAATCACTACTGTACATTAAAATTCATCATCCAAATTTTTTTAACATGTAATTTCATCCCCCTACTTAATATTTCATGCATAAAATATAAAGAAATAAATTTCGAAAGTGTTTGAAAAAAATTGGCAAGTTATACACTGTACACACTAGGAAATATATTTGTAGACAACGAAAATCAAAGGACGATAACTGTATCCTCGGACCTAATATGATAGAAAAACTTGGCTAATTCTAATAAAACTTTGCATGACCTAAGCTTAGTAAATTATAAGATAGTTGGCCAAGTTTCATGGCCATAGGATATATATTATAGACACAATGGCCATTTTAATATTGAACTTTGGATGATTATTTTAGACGTTGAAATCGAACAATTTCAACTATTAAGATTGGGGCCTAAAAAATGTAAATATTGCAAAAATTTGCTTTTTAAGTGCCCTTTTATATAATGTATTATGTATTAAAAGCAACTGAACACTCATTTGATTTATCAGATTCATTACAATGATTCAAAAGTCAAATTTATATTAGCCTGTGCCTGAAAATGTAGATTTTCGAATTAAGGGGCCTTACATACACATACATTTTTTTCAACCAATTTAACATTTTTGAAGTTTGTTTACAATAAGTTATTCTTTCATACATATTTAATGAACTTTAATTGGAAAGAAAAGTTACAAAAAGCATACCACATGAGTATAACATGGTCTTAGGCCATGTAAGACTGAAAATTATATTGGGTCAATTTAGGCCGTAGCACAGATTTACATATAAAAAAGCATACTGAAGCTATAAGAAATAGAAGTTTGTTACTTTTTGCTCATTTCTATGTTAGGATGTCATGATACAAGAAGTCTGAATACAACAAGACTCTTGCATTCAACTTTTTTTGCAGACAGTATGGTCTGATGCACAGTTTTTTTCTCTTTTCAATGGAAAACTTGCATGAAGTTTTAGTCTCAACAGGCATATATTTCAACCACTTACTATCCTAATGAAGAAAACAAAGGTAGTATATGAAAGTAATAATAAGCACTTATCATTGTTAAGTGCTTTTATTACAGTTTTAGTGAAATATTATGATGGTCTTTAACTTTTATGTACAATGGTCTTCACATTACACGTGCATCAAACTGGCTGTTTGACCAGGACCATAAAAATAACACATTTTGCATATTTTTTCTGTGATAATCTACTTTTCTCTAGCTTCAGAGTTCACACATTATTAATGAAACTTGAATTAAGCATAGAAACACAAATATCAAAATATAAAAACCTGTCAGATAGAAAATCAGCATGCCTCTTAGGCATAAAAATGAAAACTGCTTTAAAATGCTTATTCTAGCCGTATAATGGCTAATTGGGACATTTTTACAGAATTTCTTTCAAATAAAGATGTAAATCCTTTACTTTTATTCAGTTTGACAAATTGAAACAAGCAAATCATTCAGAAAAGTTGTCAAAGTACAGAATCTACATTTACTGAATTCATCTCTTAGCCCAGAGAACATAGTTATTTCGTATTGCATTTCTTTTAGACAATAAATTAAAATTAAAAAAATCGCACCTGCTCTATCTCAAACAGATTTTCACAGTGTAGTATACTACTTTTGGGACAAATAATATCAAATTTATAGAAAAGGCTACCAGCTTTTACTCAAAATATGGACAATTCTATGTTAAGGGGGTCTATAATTCAAGTTGACAGCTTCAGACATACTAATTTCAGACCTTTTTTAACTGGACCAAATCACTACTGTACATTAAAATTCATCATCCAATTTTTTTTAAACATGTAATTTCATCCCCCTACTTAATATTTCATGCATAAAATATAAAGAAATAAATTTGGAAATTGTTTGAAAAAAAATGGCAAGTTATACACTGTCCACACTAGGGACTATATTTGTAGACAACGAAAATCAAAGGACGATAACTGTGTCCTCGGACCAAATAAAATCGTATAATTAAAAAAGCAAAATGAGGATATTAAATTTGATGTATGCCTTTTTGTGCTTCTTTGTTACATTTGTTTGTTTTGATAGTGATTAAGATGATTACACAATGTTGACTGCTGTACCCCTATTTTTGACATTTTTACCTATTGTGTCTGTTTGTTTTGTTTACGCATCGTTGTCATATAATGGAATTTGATGCGACTGTCATACAAGTGAGAGGTTAAGCTGGCTATAAAACCAGGTTCAATCCACAATTTTCTACATAAGATTATGCCTGTACCAAGTCAGGAATATGACAGTTGTTATCCATTCGTTTGATGTGTTTGAGCTTTTGATTTTGCCATTTGATTAGGGACTTTCCTTTTTTAATTTTTCTCGGAGTTTAGTATTTTTGTGATTTTACTTTTTTGTGACTTATAATGCCTTATATGTAAAACAAATGAAGACACTTTGTTGCCCTGAAAAAGGCCATTTGTGAAAGCTCACATCGGCACCAAATTGATATCAAATACTTGTTTCTTGGTCATTCCAGTCCACGGACCAGTTCTTATCTAGACGTTGCGATATTGTTTACATACGTAAGTGGAGTCATTTTGATAAGATAAAACTCGTGTAAAAATCGAGAGGATCAAATGTTTGTTTTTTTTTTTACCGGTGATTAAACTGTAATTCATCGCACATTATTTTTCTTTATGGGTAAGCGACATTCCTTGCATTAAAATGATAATTAACCGAAATAATTCATATAGATCATGTATGAGTCTTCCTACATTCGTGTTTATCCCCAGTCAGCTTTTGGTAAATAAAGGTGTGATCAAATGTGATCAATTGTGATAAAATTGATGTTTTCATATTAATCCTGTAATATGTCCTCGAACAGTCATATTGGGTCTCGATCAGCTGTATATATACAGCCAATACAGCTTACCTCGAACCAAAACGACCGTTGAACATACTACAGGATTGCAATGAAAACACTCATTTGAGAACACTAAAAGAAAATGTTCGTTGAATCTCGTGTCAACAGTAGAATGAAAATCAATATGGGAATATTTCGAATGAACTTGTTCTCCTCTACAGTATTTGAGATAATCTAAACTGGGCGACCATATGCTTAATTTCCACACAAAATTTGGTGATGATTACATATAAACTCCATTTGAAGAAA